CGAAGGCTGTCCAGGCCTACACGAGATGAGGCAGGATGAAGAGGGATAATCCCCCTCGATCCCAAATCATTGAGGCCAATTTCTAGCCATTTAATAATGGCGCGGTTATTCATTTAACCGGTTATTTTTGCCCATCCCTAGTTTCAGATCATAGTTTCCAAAAATTAGTAGTTCAGTAATCTCAATCTATGCCTAAAATCCCTTAGCGAAGCAGGAAAGGAACACGTATATTTTTTGAGCAACACGTTATCAAACTGACGTGTTATCAAATAATTACATTTCGATGTTCGCGATTCAAATATGTTTTTTGTCTTAATTTTTGAATTTGTGTCGTGTTCTAAGTTTTAAACTCGTAATTATCTCTAATATGTTAAAATTTTAACCTTGATACTATACTAATATGTAAAGTCATAAATATTTAAACTGCAATGTTAATCAAAACTTTATGGATTTTAATTTGTGTTCTGGAGATTACTAGTCAAAAAAATCAAGACAAAGAAGACGTGTTTGTTCCAACTCGAGAATGGCAAGTTGTTAAAAAGGGTATATAATTACAGCTAAATAAAAAGAATATTTTATTTTTAATTTCTATCATTTATATTTTTTAGGACAAAGTATTCCAAAAGGACTTCATATCAGAGTAAATTTTGAAACTGGTGTTACTGAAGCAAAACTTTTAGATAGAGATGATGAAGTAAGTAGAAACAATGCATTGTTAGAAGTGCCTCAAGAAAAGAAAGACGATGAAGAATTTTTGAAGCCAGAGAATATTAAAGAAACACTGAAAAAAATTAAAGCAGATGACATATTAAAAGTTGATGAAATAAAGGACGTTAAAGGAAAGTTTCGAAGCTATGAAGACTTAAAAAAGGAAATGAATTCTTTAAATTTAACTCCTAAAATTGATGCAGAAATTTTAACAGATCTATTTAAACAATTCGAAGACGAAATGGAAAGAGAAAAAATTAATATTTACACTATTATAAGAATTCTAGAAGATCTTGATTTTTTAGCTCACCAGTTTGACAATGCTTTAGAATTTGTTCGTCAGAATGGATTTAAAGAAATTATCTATAAAAATTTGAATTCATCTGATAGTCAAATAAAACAAGAAACTTTAAAATTATTTGGTTCTTTGGTACAGAATAATGGCAAAGTTCAAATACATGCTTTAGAAACTGGCAGTATAGGTATTTTATTAAGGATTTTACATTTAGAATCTGTAGATGTTAAAAGTAGAGCCATATATGCTCTCAGTTGCCTACTGCGAAGATTTCCTTTAGCCCAATTAAGATTTGTAGAAAATGGAGGAATATCTGTTGTCACAGAAATTTTAGAGAAAGACCCTGTTATAAAAGTTCAAATTAAACTAATTACTCTTATGAATGACCTATTAATAGAAAATATACAGGCTCTTAAAGATAATTCCAATGAAAACCAAAATTTTCTAATTAGTCAGTATCAACGTATAAATTTAGAAAATTTATTACTCAGTCACGGATGGTGTGAGTACTTGAACAAACTGTTATATTCATTAATTGCAGCTGATCCAGATGACCATGATTCAATAGAAAAATGTGTACTGGCTATGCATACTGTTACAAATAAATGCGTACAGCAATACAGCGGTGATGTCTTGATGCGGCTGCAAGAAAGATATAGAAGTTTAGCTTTAAACGATCTAGATAGAAGTGATGAGTTAAGCAATAGTGACTTTTTTACAAACTTGCATGATCTATGTGGGGATATGGTGCAGCAGAAAAATATTAAGACTGAATTGTAAGATCATAATAAATTATTTATTTTATTCTGAAGTTTTATTTATAAGATAAAGTATTTTAAATAGTATCTACAATATTTCTAAGGAGACGTATATTCATAAACATACTGTCGACAAATTCCACGTGGTTGAATGTAAAAGTTAATTATGCCAATGTTAAAGTTAATTCATTTAACTTGTACATTTTTATATGGTAAGAATGTTCCGCTTTTGCCACTTAAATATATTTATTTATTAAAACTAAAACTAGAATTCGCAGCTTAAAAAACAGTTCATAAAAATATTTTTGGTCATAACTATGTGAAAAGTCGTAAAAACGGTATCATTTCAGAAATATTTCTTCATAAAATCATTCGATATTTATTTTTTATAGTTGTTTTAATAGATTTTGTTTTGTCAGTGTAGGTTCTTTTTGAGATTCGATTTTTTAAAAATAGTGGATAGTAGTAACTTCCTAAAATGAGTAAGTATATACAGGCTGTTACAAATTTGCTTCTCACTACAGGTATATCGGAAACGGTAAGAGATACGAAATAGCTTAAATGGGGGTAAAGCTGTGTAATCAGGGGCCCAACAGAAAAATCAAAGAAATATTTGAAAAAAAAAAACGAAATTTTGGAAATCCGTTTTTATTTAATTTCAGCCTTGTTTGAGGTGATATTGAAAAAAAGAACATCACTTTCTCATGGTCACTTTTTGCCCTCTATCGAATGACAATCAATTTTTATATGTAACGTTTCGTCTCTCCAGGACCATCATCAATTTCATTTTTTTAAATACGACCCTGGAAATTTTATTACATTTTTTGCAAGCCTTCATGGCACCCAATACTGTACTGCGTCAGCCCGAACCAGATTCAGACGTTTTGTCTCAAAAAATTAATGTTCAGTGTATTTGTTCCAAATTTAGCTATTTTTTTTTTTAGATTGTTGTTTCTTGAATTATCGTACACTTGATTATCTTGAAGTGTCGTTAGACCATGTGAAATCCACCTAGTTATTTAAACTATTAGCATCACACGTTACAATAAAAAGATTATTAGAGTTTTAATCTCCACCTGGTCATACATAATTCGATAAGTTACTGCGTCAAAATTAAAACAATAATACAATTTTAATTTCATTATGACAAATTAACTCTTAAAAATGCATATGAACAACCAAAACTCCAAATAAATGTTATACTTTAAAAAATTACAGAAAATGTTCAACACCGTTCCCGATTTGGCAAATGATGAAATTTAAGATAAGCATAATAATGATGGGAAATTATTATATTTGTAACCGCAACTGGGAAATAGCATGAGCACTCGAGAAACCTAGAAATAAGTATGAGCACAGGATTAAAACTCTAATAATGTTTTATTGTAACGTGTGGTGGTAATAGTTTAAATAACAAGGTGGATTTAACAGGGTCTAGCGACACTTAGAGTGTACGATAATTCAAGAAACATAGAAATCTGAAAAAAAAAAATATATTTTGAAACGAATACATTTAAGATGAATTTTTCGAGACAAAACGTCTGAATCAGGTTCAGGCTGAGGCAGTACAGTACTGGGGGTCATGACAGCTTGCAAAAAATGTAATAAAATTTCCAGTGTTTAAAAAAATTAAGTTGATGATGGTCCTGGAGAGACGAAACATTAAATATTAAAATTGATTATGTCATTGGATAGAGGGCATAATCATAAAAGTTGCCAATAGAAAGTGTTCTTCTTTTTTCAATATCACCTCAAACAAGGCTGAATCTAAACAAAACCAGATTTCCAAAATTTCGTTTTTTTTCAAATATTTTGAAAACTAATCATATTAGCCTTGATTTTTTAGAGGCATAAATTTGGTCTCCTGATTATGCAACTTAGCCCCCATTTAAGCTACTTCATATCTCTTACCGTTTCCGAGATCCCCGTATAGTGAGAAGCGAATTTGTAACAGCCTGTATATTATTGCATAGCATCGACAATATTCTATGGGTCATTCTCAAGTAAAAATAGGTTTGCAAATACTTTGTTCCTAAGATATAGAGATAAAATTTTATTATTTCTTGTACACGATTTTTTGAGAAAATTCGCCAAATTCAGTATTTTCAACACGTATGCACTGATTGAATGTAAAATGAAAATGCTATTCTAAATGGTTTTTTCAAAATCACACCTCATAATTCTTCGAAATAATTTTATGACAACAATCGCTATGATTTTATGGTTCTACTATTTTTTTTTATGGTACTCGTTGAAATGTATAACGTGTAAAAATAATAGTCACCACTTTAGTACTTTTCAAATTTAATGATAATTCTTTTGAGTGAATTTAATTAAAATTATCTTTTCTAAAATACTTTGGACAAAAATATGTGTATCAATGGTGGATATACCGGTAGCCGTTTTCACTGAAATATTTTGATACTTGAATCACTACTTTTAATTCCTTACGTGTTCCAAAAATAAAAAAAAGTCTATTCGAAAAATGAACCATTTCTGACTTCCTAGTTTTTTTAACTTTCGTTAAAACGTTGAGTGAGAAAAGTATCTCACTTAACGATTAAAATTACTAGAGATGTGCCGCGGACTTGTCCTGAGGGAACTTTTCAAAATTGAAAAGTTGTATGCGCATGCGCGGAATTATTTGTTGCATTCATAATTCCCGCAAAAAATTTTTGAGGTTGGTACATGTAAAATTAAAGATATTTATCGATTTTCTTGTAATTTTGTTGGTAATTGTTTAACTAAAACTGACATTTTAAAAATATAACCTTTTATATGTCCTTATTTTATTATTTTTGGCAAAATTAACGATTAGTAAATAGTAATCAGTTGATTCTTAATTTAATATTTAATACACAAATAGTTTATAAATGAAGTATGACGCCAAAATCAACTGTTTGGTTACATTTTTCTGAATTGAGTAAAAATTATAAATATAACCTCTGCTGAAAAACAATTTTTAAGAATTCCAGTAGGATGGAAAAACATTTAAATAAGTGTATTGGCTGTCCGGGGAAAATTAGAAACCAGTTTATAAAAAAAGTCTAAAGGTAGGTAATAAGTAATAAATATATCGACACATATTCATTAGAATAAAAGTAATATTTTGTTTTGTGTATACTCGAGCAATGACTGTGAAAATATGACGTCACTCATAGGTGACTTATTCAATTCAAGGTCAAAAATACTTTTCCCTGACATGTCTATAATACACTTTTCCAAAAAGTGCCCATCTCTAAAAATTAGCAAGCACTACTCAACAAAAAAGTTCATGATTTCCTTCTAAATATTCCATTTTAAATACAATGTAGCTGTGAAGAATCAGAAATTAATTGTCAACATTTTTTTTTGGAACCATACCCCCATTCTAACAAAATACTTAATTTCTATGCCGTTGATTTTTTTAATTAGTCACGATTAGTTTATATTTAAAATTGTATTGCTAGCAAAAAAATCCTGACCCTTTCTTCGAAGATTTGATTATCTCGAAACACCATTCAGATCGTTTCTAAAATATTCGGAAAACGGCTCGATCGATTCCAAAATTTGACACAATAATTTCAAACAGGTGTTTTGTACTTCGTAATGTAGGATTTTTTTTTACTTAACTTTTTTTTAACAATCCAGACAGGTCAAAAGGTTGAAAAATGAATGTAAAGTTCAATCGGCCGCCATTTTGCGAAAAAATTTTTTTGTGTGCGCTTATTAAACCTTTTTTTTATATTTTTGGTCAGAGGTTTGCCTGTATATATTTGCCAGTAGAATATTGAAACATCTTATCGTTTTGCTTTTATTAAAGTCGGAGAACACTTCGATTCATTTTTTTCACGTTAATAAACTTGCATTTCTGTTATTTTTTTCTAATACAAAATGCAAACAAATTTATTCCTATATAATAAACTTACACATTCTACTTTACTACATAAAAAAATGAATTTGAAAACTGGAAAGATATTCTATTCTATTAAATTAATTATTATTAAATTAGTTGCTATCTTCATCTGCTTCACTGGAAGCAGGAGTTTCTTCATCCTCGTCTTCAGAATCTTTCTTCGATTTGGTTTTCTTCTTAGTTTCCTCATCATCACTATCCTTCTTCCTTTTGTTTCCCTTTTTATCTTCATTAGCGGTATCTTTCTTTGACGATTTTTTCTCTTCATCAGAATTAGTTTTATCATCTTTGCTTTTAGATTTTTCATCTTCACTACTGCTATCGGTGTCTTCAATATACTCTTTACTTTTAATTTTAAGCTCGTCGACTTTGGGTGTGCTAGTACTAGCTTTCTTTATTGTGGGTTTCTTGTCTTTCTTTTTCTTGTCGTCTCCACCTCCAGAAGCTTTATACTCGGCCATTTCTTTATTATACCTTTCCTTGTCTTTGTTCGCCTTAGCTTCCCACTCAGATTTATCTTTGAGTTCACGCCACATTTCGCCTCCTTTTTTGGCAATTTCTGTAACTTTGATACCATCGTTTTCCTTTTTAATCTTCTCTCTATTTTCATTCAACCATAACATAAAGGCGGAGGTAGCTCTTTTTGGTTTGTTATCATCCTTCTCCTTCTTCTCTTTCCTTTTCCTTGGTTTCTCTGAAACTGTTTTGGTTTTCTTTTTTTCCTTCTTCTCCTTCTTGTGCTTCTTCTCTTTTTTATCGTCATCTGAAATGTAAATAGCTGGTTACTGAAGTTTACTACCGTTGCAATTCAAAGGATGCTATAAAAAGTTAGTCAAGTTAGGCAAAAATAATAGGACTTTCCTTATGTTATTCTCCATTTAAGTGTCTCTTGTCCAAATAAAAAAAAAAGATTTTTATTAATATTTGTTAATTTTTAAGATTGCAAGTAGCAATTTCTATGTATAATTTTGTTTAATTTACAGTTCAGAGAAATCTAAATTGTAGATTGCTGCAGAACTAAATTTACTGAAAACATTGTAATCATGACTTTGATAACCATCAGAAGGATAATTTGAAACCACTTCAGTTGAGACTTTTAAAATCTAAAGATTGGAAAAACTATTACTGTATTAAGTTCTACAATATGAAAAAGTCACACTATTTCAGCCCACAGAAGACGTGACTACAACATTGCACGACTAGAACTGGTAATGAAAAATCCCTAAATCTTGGCTTCACCAATATTAATGATTCGTTTACAATAAACAAAGAAAAACTGTTACATTTACGGTAGAGATGATGTGATCCCTGATTGATTGAATAGAAGTTCATGACAAATTACACCAATCACAATTGTGAATATTGTGTTTTAATGTAATCTTGATCTTATTGTTTTAATAATTTTTAATTTTACCCAAATTTAATTGCCAAAATGAACGATATAAAATTACTGGCTTGTAATCATTTATGAAGGCTCTGTATAACTATTCGTTTCTAAAAAGAGCAAGAGCACTTTCAGCAATGGGGTGTTTGTCACCTTTATATGAAATAAAGTAACAAAAAGTTGACTTTTTTAATTTTTGGAAGAAATCTGGCAATTAAGGAGGTTCGATAGATCTCTTGCGGGGCAGACAGTGGGAGAGGGAAGCCTATGCTTATACACGGGAGTTTCGTTGTAGTACCAACCTTACAGAATCTAATTTGAGCGAACTAAATATAATATATGCAAATGACATTTAAACAACACATATTAGCGTGCATATATATATTTTTTTGTTTAATGCTCAGCAATTAATCTTTTATTTGAATAAAATTGTCTATTTATTCATTAAGAGGTTGTAAAACTATTGGTGAAATCTGGCAACATTGCACATCAGTATGGCGTGGTGGTAAAAGTTTGGTCAACTGTCAACAGCTGCTTAGCGTGCATACCGTAAACATGAATCCATGATACAAAGAAAAAGTATTGTCTGAAAAGCAATATAAAAGGCGTATGAAACAGTTAGAATGTGGATTGATGAGAAAAAAGTAAAATGTGCAAACCGAGGATTCATATGATAAATATCAAGAAGCTCAGTGTATGGTAGTGAGATGTCGCCTTGTCAAATTGAAGGTTATGACAAACATCTATACTGTTCGTTTTGCAAAGAGATCCTTTCAATTTTTGTTTCAAATTGCTATTATATTGCATTAGATCACGAAAAATGTATTTAATATTAATTATTACTACATATGTTTTCGACTGGAATAATTTTATAGTCTATAAATCGAGCTATTCAAATATAGCGCATCAGTCGAAGCGTTAAATACAGCGTTGCCATATTTCCTTTCATTGGATCAGATGATTGTTAAAATTTGTCAAAACGTTCGGTAATTCCATTATCTCAATAATTACATTGTAAGTGCATATTTTTATTGTTTTAAAATGTTTAGTAATATTTAATTCTTTAATTACAATTTTATTTTCCTGATCCTAACCATTTTTAAGAGCAATATTCGTTTGACAAAAGTTTTTCCCCAACTCCCATTAGAGCCTGTGTATAAGAGCATAATTTTTAATATAATTTTCAAAAAAACTACGTTGGCAATAGATCTGATATTTTCTCACGAAGCAGTTTGCATATTTAGTAACAGACTTCAATTGCTTCGAAAACTTTCTTACCATTTTTTTTTCGGTACCGAACCTCCTTAAAAAAATGTTAAAATTAAACCAATTTGGCAGACAGTTGTTGCACGCTAGATTATGTTTTAATTGTGCCCTCTGTTAATAGGAAGTTCCAACTAAAGTCTCATACCACTGTCCAACAGCGCACATTAACTTTCATTATAGATCACTGTCAAAACATTACACTTTTTTTTTAATGAAACATCCTATTTCTATCACAAGAGTGGCTTTTTTGAGCTAAATGATATATTATATTCAAATATGTAGCATACAACACAGGAAACTTAACCGCAAAGAAGTTATACCTCTAAAATGCTACCAAGGAACATGCCGGCTAGTGAAATCTACACGATAATAGAAAACTAACAATACTAACATAGCATCTTCAACAACTTGTTGTTGACTAAATTTCAATGCACTATGTTGTTTTTTTATAAAAGATATATATATGGCCACAATTTGATTTAAAAATAATTTTTGATGCCTTGCCTCTCAAAACAAGACCAAACACAAACCACAGTTCATGAAAAAAATACTTAATCTTATTTTTTGATGTTCTACTGTTCTCCCTCAGAAGCTGTTTTTGTTCTCGTTCAATTGTGGCCCCACGTTGGGCGCCATGTTCTCATTCGGAGAGTAGATTTTTTTGATTTTTATTTTTTAGGGTTTACAGTTGGTAATTTTGCGGATATTGTCCGATTGTGAAGTTCGAGTTCTTGTTTCACTCCACAGAACGAGAAATTTATTTTTATTTCATGTGCACCCCTTTCTATTCAGAAAGGTTACAAACACGAAAATCAAAATATGTAAGGGAAAAATGTATTGCTTATTTTAGTTTTACGTTTTCTGATTTGTTTCTCAGGCCATTCTAGTTCATTCCCTGGTATTTATACTCTCGCCTAGATGGTGCTTCAAATCATAGGAAAGGTATTCGTTTGCATTCTCTGATGTTATACGAGGTGTTCGGAGTATAATAAGAATGGTATTACTATGAGATTATATAAATACGTGAAATTGAGGATAAAATGGTTGTTATACAGGGTGTGTCGAAATTAACGCAACAAGATTTGGTCACAGATTCATGACAAATTTAGGGGACCCATATTTTCTACTTTTGCCAACCCCCCCTCCTTCCAGAGTTACAGCCCCCTGAAATCCGCCCCTAAGAGTAATCTTTTTTTTATATCTCAGAATCTTGTATGAGAATCACCAAATTTGGTACACAGGGATTTTATGACCTGTGGAATCTGTTGGTGCTAACTTTTTAGTGGGGAACCCCCCCTTAAGACAATTTTTCGTGGGCCTCTTGTCCTTGGAGCCAAAAGAATTTTATCACATATTTTTTCTTAAAAATTATTAGTCCACTAGAAAGTCATTAAATTTAGAAACTTTTTGTAAAACACAATGTTTTCGAGAAAAATGTCAAAATGTGATCGAATTCACTCTTTTTGCTCAAAAACATTGTGTTTAATGAAAAAATATCGAGAGACAAAAAAGTTTCTAAATTCAATGGTTTTCTAGATAACTATTAATTTTTAAGAAATCCAAAATTGCGACCAAATTTTTTTAGTTCCAAAGGGGGCCCCGTCTTAAAGGGGTTTCCCGCCAAAAAGCGTAGCACTATCAGATTCCACATGTCATAAAACCCCTGTGTACCAAATTTAGTGATTCTCATACATTGTTCTGATATAAAAAAGAAGGCGGATTTCAGGGGGCTCTTACTCCGAATGAGGGGGCCACTTGGCAAAAAGAAAAAATACAGGTCTCCTAAATTTGTCTTAAGAATCTATGACCAAATTTTGTTGCATTAATTTCGGGACACCCTGTATAGGAATTAAAATTAAAATTAAATGGAATTAACTAAAATTTTATTACACTCTGAAAGGTTAACACCCTGACTGTTGTAGATTTTAGGTCATTTTGAATTTTAGGAACTCACCTGAACCACCACCCTCTTCATCATCTTCTGACGTACTACTATGTTCACTGTCAAATTCCTCAGCTACATCACTTTCCTGTTGATTGGGATTGAAGTCTTCATCAGTACTTTCATCGTCATCGTCGCTTTGATCATCTCTTTGCTGACCCTCGGCTTTAACTCTTTCCAAGTAGGCATCGACCGCCGCCTCATCATCGGAATTACCAAAGTCATCCTTATACGAGGCCTTATCCTAAAAATGTATAAAAGTTTAGTTCCGTAGGTGGTGCTGTGATTCAATTTACTTACATTTTTGCCTCTGTTCTTGATATTAAGTTTTTTAGATGTTATAAAATCGAAAAGTTTAGCGTATTCCTCCTTTTCGATACTGCTGAATGTGTGGACAGTCCCAGATTTGAGTTCTATCTCGAAATCGAACGATCTTGTGCTACCTCCTCCTCTAGCAAAATTGACCGAAGCTATTTCTTCAAATCGAATGTGAATTGGGGGTTTGTGGACATAAATAAATCCACGTTCTAGTGGATAAAGCAATCCCGCTGCAGCCTTGAACGAGCAACCAATTGCGGGCGTGCCAGAATGTCTAAGAAAAAAAAATTTTGTAATTGTTTGGAACATGTGGCTCGTAACGTAAAGTTGTAATCAGTTTACTCTCTCAGTTGTCATTTCAGTTGTATAATAGACATTGTTCCTAGCGGTCGGTCGGCTTTTCCATATGTTTATTTTGCATAAATTACTGTACGTTATAATTGTCTTGCACATTTAAATAAACATTATATGCTGTAGGCCCAGCAAGAACCAGGAAATCTCCTTAACATTTTTTTGGAAAGCAAGCCGAGTGACTTGTTTTAAACATAGCCAATATAGTTAGCACTAAAAACTGTCCAAACTGTAACTTTCATCGGCTAAGAATTTTTATTTTTACATATTTAATTAATGTTTATAAATGGTATTACTATTTAATATTAATATTGTGTGGCGATATATATTTTATCGGACACGTTCATATTGGTATGAGCTTGGCCAGCGTTTCCCTGAACTCTTTTCATCATTGAAAAGGAAGTTAACGGTTCAGATAAAGAAGTTTGGTTATACATTATTTTAGTAATATTTACCCAATAAATGCTCCTGGACCCGTAAGTTTGCGATTAATAATGTTTTTCATAATTTTTCCTAGTACTTCATAAGTAGGTCCAGATAATTCTTTTTCTAGTTTTCCTTCGTATTTTTCTTTCAATTCTTCCCTGCAAAAAATTTGTTATATCACAATGTTAATAAGAATGTTTACATCAACGTTATACAGGTTTGGAAAGTCCCCATGGTACATCGGCCGTTACGTGAGAGCAATAAAGTAAGTCATAGAAATCCGTGCGATAGACAAGGATGGTTACATTGAAGACATTTCATAATCTGAATAGTCACTCCTACTTCTAACCCGAAACGGGCAGTGACTATTCAGATTATGAAATGTCTTCACTATAGCCATCCTTGTCTATCGCACGGATTTCTTTACTTTACTTTGTTGCTCTCATGTAAAGGCAGATGGACCATGTGGATTTTCCAGCCCTGTATAGGTAGGGCTGCCAACAAGTTTTACGACCATTCTTCATATTTTATGTTTTAAATAAAATTATTCGTGTTAGCTAAAAATTATACCCATAAAAAAAGTTTATCTTCGACCTCTATTGCAATTCAACGACAACAAAGTCAGAGCACATTGCTTACTATACTTAAATAGACTATGTATGTTGTTTTGATATTTATTTATTTATCAAAAGAATTTTTTATACTTCCAAAACTTACTTTTTATATTATTTATTTATAAAAATATTAATATACAGGGTGTAACTCTGTATATTAAGGAGAGTCATATTTATAAGGATGCTGTTTTCTCAAATTCTGTCGTGACAAATGATTTTTTTTTTTTTGTAATTGGGATTCAAATACGTGTTTTTTTCATAATATTGCACAGAAATTTTACATTGAAGACACATAACCAACACTGTAGATTAAAAACACTGAAATAAATAACTTAATTCACAAAACCTACCAGACTATAAACACCTTTGCATAAATCGATCAAACTAAAAAATTGGAATAAATATAATAAAATGAAGCGTTAACATATTTGGCAATTCTTGTTTTGCCAGATTAAAGTTGGCCGCTTGTTCTTTAACTCCCCTATTATAGTATCAGATAGATTGATATTATGTAGTTTGCCTAAAGCTTGTATCTGACAATGCAATTTGGTTACAGGGATTTGGTTGCCGTGATAAAATCCACAATTTTTTTCTTATCAGACTAATTCTGTCACCGCAACTGAATTGCATGAATTAGAACTTGCTCTATTCCATGTAACAAAAGTGCAGTGATTGTAGTTTCTTTTATAGAGATTTGCTTATTATAACCTGTATTTTATAGTTGGTAGACCTGTGGAAAGGTTTAAATAACCTCAAGAGCGTTTTAAAATCCAGGTCCAACCCACTATCTTCTTAATTTTATGGCTGTTGTTAGTAAGTTGTTGAAGCCGCTATTAAAGCTATACAGCAATTTATTTTAAAATTTTTATCCATCACAATGTTGCCTGAATTAAAAATAATATGTAGTTTATACAAGATAATTACAGATTGAGATATTTTACATGTTAAACAAAATGCACAGTGGGTAACGTTACTACAAACTAAACAAAATGCAGCAATTCTGTCCCCTTGTATGATAAAAAGCATGGACTTTATCCCCGCAATTTTGTTGCCGCACCCAAATTACATTGTCAGATACAGGCTTAAACTAGATTAATGTTGAAGGTCAGAGGCTACTGATACTGAGATTCACAAACCAAACACAGTGCTTTAAAAAACAGCAGTAGATACTTTTTCTTAAAAATTTGGAATAACTTTAAAAAGTATTTCAAATTTATCAAATTGGTAAGTATTTTTATTTATTTTTTATTAGACATTTTATAAAACAGCAAATATAATTATTTCAAAAACATTCACATACCAATATTAGTTAACATATAAATTACGCAAAAAACATTAACTTAAAAAAATTTTAATGTTCAGCACGTTGTCCACATTGACTACAAAAAAATATGGTGACTTATCATATAGTTGGTTTAAAAAAGTAACAACAGGCAACAGTGATAAACATTATAGCCCAATGTTCGACGTGAAAAAAATAATTTTAAATTAGTATTGCTTAAAATTATATCTAATAATACTTACTCTGTGAATGGTAACTCAATAGACGTTTCATCTTCTTGATTAAACCGTAATACAAGAAAGTGATACCTGGTTTGACCTTGTTTGATGGGAGGATCTAAACTAACTACAAAGAACATCTGTCGGTTATCCTTGTGGGGCAAAATAAATAACCTCAAAACAGTTGTTATCGGGATTTTGTAATCAAATGTTTTACCATGAAGTTGGAAGAAGGTATTAAATATTTTAATGTCATAACGCCCACTGAAAAAGAAAAAAATATATGAAAACTTTACGAACATAAAATTAGATTAAAAGAGTATCTAGCTGTGCATTGGAATACAACTATCATTAGTAATTAACATACCGAGGTGTAAGGCAATGGATCTCTCTGAAAATGGCGATGGCATCTCCTGATACATTTATTACACTGGCCTTATCCATGACGCGCTGTTGGAATGCATCAACTGGATCTACATCGCCCGCAAGTTCATTTGAAGGTATAAAAAATCGCATTTCCATTAAACTAACTGGAGCATCATCATTCTACAAATGTAAATAACAAATCTAAGAAACAAAAATTAGTAAAAATAATATTAGCTTAATAGTTTCTAGTAGACTTTTTCAATTTATACTTTAGCTCCAGATTAATTTCAGTGACATAATTTTAGTTAGAAATTGGGCTCCAATGCTCCTAATTTTCTTTAATTGATTACACAATATGTCTGAAAACTTACGATCAAGTGTTCAACTTTAACATTTTGTATCTCGGAGACATTTTATTAGAACAATGTACAGGAAGAATTACCATTATTTTAATATGTTCTGTATGATCCTGTATTTTATTACACCTTGTATAGTTACCTGATGGAATTCCATTGTAATTTCATTTTTGCCAGCAGTACATTGAGAAACATAGTTAAGTGGTATCTCAAAAGCCGTGTTTTGTCCAATATCGAAACTTAACACAGAACCTGTGAATTTTGCAGTACCCCAATTCCAACCCTTCATACTTAGTTCTCTATCTAGTGTATCAATTTTATAAGAGTTTGAAAAGAACTTTGCAATCTTTTCCTTCTCGGAATCTTTGAAACCCACAAATCTGTGCAATGTACCATTCTTTAAAAAAAGACGAATTCCCCAAATACCGGCAAAATTTTGAAAGTTCACAATGTCAAATTCTGATGATGGTATTTGTTCAACTTTGCCAGTCTTACTGTTTTTAAAGATGATATTCTGATCATTCATTTTTAATTTGCCAGGAGTCTGAAAAGTATAGTTTTTAAAATATTATTAATTATTATTTATAAAAACATTTAACGCACCATACATCCTTTAATTTCAGCTGAAATATCGAAATACTCCAAGAAATCCATTTTGTGTTTACACTACTTTATATTATATTTTTTTAGATACGGCTACAAGTGAACAAATTAATATTAACAAAACAGAATTATAACTGTTGCAAAAAATTAAGCTGCTTTTCTTGCCTGACAGATATAAAGAACAAATTGATAAATGACAAATGACAGCAAACTGCAAATGGCGTATTCCTGTGTTCGTGACCATGGAGACTATACAAGGAGCCCGAACTCCATGTAAACAAAAATCTTACAAAAATAAGAGGGCGCTAGTGTTCCATATGTCCCATATGTAGAGAGGGGAGATAAACAGCGGCAGTTTGAATTATAAATCAATCATGTCATTTTTGTAATGTGTTAAAAATTTTAAAATAAATAATGTAAGCTACTTTGAATTATATAAATCATGAAAATATGTCATTCCGGACTGTAATTAAACTAAATAGATAATAAAAAATATTAGCTTTATGAGAAGAATTTGGTGTTCGTAGAAAGAAACTAGTTTTCAAGGAATTTATGACGTGATCTTGTTAATATTAACCTATAAGTAAGGTTTATGTTTTTGATAATTACTTTGTTAAAGATTTTAGTTTAATGTTAGTAAAAAATAGTCACATTTTATACAGGAAGTTGCCTTTAAAAAAATAGTAATTCTTGTATTATTAATATGGAATTTTTACTTGTGGTAATAAAAAATAGAATATAAAAAAACTCGGTGTTTTAAATAAACTTTTTAAAATATTACAGATGTCCGATTTTGAGTCCAGTGATTCAGATGACTTATTAGACGCATTGTCCAGCTTGAGAGTGGTGATGAAATAGATTTATTCTAAGAAACAGATAGAGTAAAAAATAAGAACTACTTTGAAATTATTGTACCTGAATATAGTGGCCAAGTTTTTTTAACATTTCCATGTTAGCATATGGGAAGTAGCTAACAGAATTGAAGAAAAATTTGCCATTTCTAATTATTTCACCCATGATTCTGGTAAATTTTGCATTGCCTTAAGCTCTACAACAACCAGAAAAGTTACATACTTGCTAAGTAACTTGTCTCCATAAATTATAGAATGGCCGAGATAATGAGGCAGTTGTAATCGAACAATATTTTGCCCAATATGAATTTCCAGAGCAGGTTATAGGAATAATTGATGGGAAAGGAATTCATATAAGATAGAGTATATCACAATCCATATTTTTTTTGAATAACCAATAATATACTATATTATAGTGTAACTGAAAACTGACTATGGAAAGTCGATAAATTATGGTTGGACAATTTCTAAGCTGATTGCCATGTTGTCGGTTTAGACTTCTCAATGCTTCGAGAGTCATATCGCTCTCTTCTCAAAATGTCAAGAAGCTTAAAACAACATGACAACCAATTGATACCAAAATTTTAACAAAATATAGGTACTCCATTATAAAGGTCACAAAAAATAGGTAATCTAAATATTTTATAACTGTTTAAAATCGATTAGTTTTCTGGGTATATATTTTAAAATTGCTGTAAAATTTAATTCTACTTTCGTAAAATTGTTGATTTAATTCGAACGTAACATGGTTCCATGACTTATTCCAAGGTAGAGTATAGACCAAAATTAATAAGGTATTATAAAGAAATATTTTAGCAATGTTCTATATTTTTGTTATATATTTTGTAAAAATAAAATGTTTATCTACCAAAGATTTCAATGTTTTATTAATTGAATAAAAAAAACGAAATTATTTGTGCCTAATTAAAATAAAATAAATATTTATTCATAACAAACAAGTAACAAAGTAAATATATATTACAAATAAAACAACTTAAAAATAAGTAATACGTGTCAGTCTATCTTCTTAAAATTTCATTTTGTTCATGAAGCAATTGATTTCCATGTTTAAATATTTAGTAAAAGTAGTCAATTACCAATACAGATCGATCAGCATCAATTACTACACGTATCCTCTCTTTAAATTTTATATGATATCTGAATTTCAATCAGTTTTTTACTAACAGGAAAGAAACAGCAACTAATTGGAAATGATTTATTCAATTCAGTAATGATAATAGCGATGTCACCAGCAAGAATTATATGAAAGATACGAATTTAATTATTTATGCACGTAATATAAATTACAAGAATATGTAGATATCCGCGATAATTTTTAAGATGCAAGCGCACCAAGCGGCGAAAGCTGTAAGCTCCGAGACAAGGTAATTTTGACATTACCGTTCATGTTTACACATTCATTTGAACAACATTTATCTTATTTGACATTATTATTAGTAATTTTGTTATCAAACTGCGGTTATTTGACTTTTGTGTTATTTTATAGGTTTCAAATATTTCATAAACAAATTTTAAGGCAAGTATTTATGTCTACTTTATTTGTCTCTAGCATTACAATTTAATGTACATTTTATTAGGTTACAACAATGAACTTATCCATTATGAAATACATTTCCTATTTACATATATGCCAACGAAAACTCTCGTTGTATATCAGAAGGAGAGGTAGTTTTTAACGCTGATCATGTGGTACTATATGGGAAAATTGGGCAAAGTTAATTTAAATTTAGAAATTTATATTATGTCTGCAAACTAGTGCCCTTACTTACTAACAACCCTCATGAAATTCAGGGAGTATTATCTATCGGCAATAATATTTTGAAAATTTCTTCAATGGTTTGATGAAAACTTAATTTTGGATTTTTCTTGGATCATGAAGAGCAACTTTGAACTGAACAATAATAGTTTGACATTTCTTCTTTCTATCCATAATTGTTGAAATTTTCCTCACACTATTTTCCGAACTAAACACAGTTTTAAATAAAATACAAAACAAAATGTCACACACAGAAGAAATGTTTACCTTGTTTCGCTAGTATCACTTGTCACCGCCAGAGGGCGAGCTCTTAGCTGCATTCGCGAATAAATAAACTATACTTTGTTGCTATTGTCAATATTATGTGAACATATTCATAGTTGCTATGTCGAGACCTCATCACACGTCAACAGAACTTTTCTTTTATTAGATTATACAGGACAGGATGCTCACTTTCTAGTATAATCTCATCGTAACTTAATTGCTCTTGATTAACTTGCTGTTCTTGTTGTTGCTGTTGTTGTTGTTGTTGTTGTAACTGATGCTCTTGTTGTAGCTGCTGCACCTGTTGTTGCTGGTGTAGCAGATGCTCTTGCTGTTGATGCTGCTGCAAAATATATAAAGAAACAATGCATCATTCAATTATACAATATTTTCACTTATGAAATCTTTCTATTTAAAAATTTCTCTACCGTATTAAGAATCAAAGAAGCTGCTTCCAACTTCCGAATTATTCGACCTTTTGCCATAATATTAACCCACTATTCGGTCAAGTTGTAATATAGAACAGCTGGACATCATTAGATTGAAAATGCAAATCACAAA